GTGGTGGGGGAGTAGGTTGGGGAACAGAAAGGACCCAGGTGTGCGGGGGTGGAAGAGAAGAGTCCCTGGCTGGCACAGCTGCAGCCTGGCCCTCCCCAGCTGGCACAGCTGCAGCCTCCTTCCCCAGGGCTGCCTACCCCCCCACGAGAGGGAGGTTGAGGAGCGCAGTGAGCCCCCTAGTTGCAAGTAAAAAAGGATATTTGGAGAACATAAATGAACAGGACAGAATCATCAAATGACCCATCCCCTGTCACCTTTTCCCAGCTTCTGACAAACAGAGGCTAGGGACACCATTCCTGCCTATCCTGGCTAAAAGAAAACAGGACAATGTAGCACTTTAAAGACTAACAAGATGGTTTATTAGGTGATGAGCTTTCGTGGGCCAGACCCACTTCCTCAGATCAACTAGTGGAAGAAAACTGGCATTTTTCTTCCACTATTTGATCTGAGGAAGTGGGTCTGGCCCACAAAAGCTCATCACCTAATAAACCATCTTGTTAGTCTTGTTTTTTGTTTCAGCTAGACCAGACTAACATGGCTATATTTCGATCACTATCCTGGCTAACAGCACTTATCCTCCATGAATTTATCTAGCTCTTTTTTAAACCTTGTTAAAGTCCAGGAGCTTCAAAGGTTGATGGTGTACTGTTTAACTAACCTCTTCATTTTTCTCTATTATCAGAGGGGTAGCCATGTTAGTCTGAATCTGCAAAAGCAGCGAGGAGTCCTGTGGCACCTTATAGACCAACCAAAGTGTTGGAGCATAAGCTTTCGTGGGCAAAGACCCACTTCTTCAGATGCATCTGACGAAGTGGGTTTTTGCCCATTAAAGCTTATGCTCCAACACTTCGGTTGGTCTATAAGGTGCCACAGGACTCCTTGCCGATTTTTCTCTATGGCATTTAATTTCAGACAGAGGATCTAGTATTGGACTGTTGTGGTGTTTTTCCTGCCACAGAGATGTTAAATTTAATTGTATTATGGTCACTACTTCCAAGTGGTCCAGCTATATTCACCTCTTGGACCACTTAGGATTAATCAAGAATTGCCTCTCCTCTTGTGGGTTCCAGAACCAGCTGCTCCAAGAAGCAGTCATTTAAGATATCAAGAAACTTTATCTCTGCATCCTGTCCTGAGGTGACATGTACCCAGTCAATATGGAGATAGCTGAAATCCCACTATTATTGAGTTTATTTTTATAGCTCCTCTAATATCCTTTAGCATTTCACAGTCACTATCACCATCCTGACCAGGTGGTCAGTCATACTACTGCTATATTCAAATTATTAGAGCACGGAATTACTAACCATATAAGATTCTATGGAACAGTTTGGTTCATTTAAGATTTTTCTTTCAGTTGATTCACACAGAGCCACTCCACCACCAGCACAATTTGTTCTGCCCTTAAGATATATTTTAATGCCTTGCATTACTGTTTCCCATTGATTATTCTGTGATACCTATTATATCAATAATCACATTCAATATGAGGAACTCTAGTTCACCCATCTTCTTATTTACACAGATAAAAAAAACTGACAAAATTTTGAAGTGTTTATTTAGCAATCTACCATTACATGATGTGACCGAATGAAACTCTCATCTGACTGTCTCAAGATTTTACCCATCTTTTTTCCATCTTCCAGCCTCTAATCTTTACTATGACACAGAGAATCTCTATTAATAGACTTTCCCATAGGGGATGCCTTTGTCCGATCCATGTGCTCCTCTGCATCTGTCAGCTTCCCCCAGCCCTTAGTTTAGTTGCATAGCTTTCCCCCAGCCACCAATATTCAAGATGTGGGCATACCATGGATTAGAGGCAATATGATATTTTCTGTCTTATTCTCTATCCCTTTCTTAATGATTCCCAATATTGTTTGCTTTTTGACTGCTGCTGCACATTGAGCGGATGTTTTCAGAGAACTACACACAATGACTCCAAGATCTCTCTTGTAAAACATTAAAAATGTACACCATGTTAACAAATGAAACTATTTAGTTATTTCACAATATCTTCTCCATATTTTATATACATGTTCAGAGAATACATAAAAAGGAGTTAACAGACAACAACAACAACAACAACAAAAAACAGGATAATGAAATCTATAGCTGCTGCGATGTCAGCCCAAGAAAAGGGTCTTTATTTCACTTACTATTATGTTTTGGAACTGTAAAAAGCTTCCTATAGTGAGATCACTCTCAACACTATGGAAACTGCTGCAGAAATCTAAGGTAGAAGGTCATACAAATAATAATTTAAACAAAACAAAAACAGCATGCTTGCAGTCATAATGGGTGAAAAGCTCTCCCCACAACTAATGCAAAACTACTACAAAAGAAACCCTGGACAGAGCCCAGAGGGTGATGCTAGAAGTTACAGAGTACAATATGGTTTCAATATGTTAACATTTATCTGGATGATAGGTGTATTCTGCAGATGGACAATAAGTGGCCAACAGGAGCTGCAAAAGGCAGTCCCTGCAGATGCTCCGGTAAATAAAGTGGAACCACAGCTCATCTGCAGGCCCAACATTGACGTAATCTCTGTTTTAGGAAAATTTACTTTTTTAAAAAAATAAATGCCTGTCCTGTCTTTCTACCCCACACCAAATGGAGATAATGGGGGCAAACCTTGTGCATCTGTTCATTGAATCTACCTCTTGTCTCCCATTATAGTTCAATTATAAACTCTTTTGGCCAAGGACCACCTATTTTGTGTCTGTGTACAGCGCTTGCCAGAATGAGGCCCTCTTCCATGATTAGGATCCCTAAGCAATAGCGTAACTCCTTATGCAATGATTTACAAAGGCAGTACACATGATTATCAGCATTTTGTAGATGAGAATACTGAAGCACGGAGAAGTGAAGTGACTTGCCCCAGGTCTCTAAATAGTTGAGTTGAGAACAGAATCCGGATTTCTTCAACCCTAATCCATTGCTCCATCTACTTGGCAATATTGCCTTCCATAATACAAATTAGGGATGTGAATGGTTAACTACTTAACATCACCTTTACCGGATGATGCTTACTAGTTATGCTTAACCAGTGGGTTGGAGCAATGGAGACCCCCCACTCACTCCTGTTTAAGCAGTTAAACATAATGTTTAACTGGTTAACTGATTAAACAGGATTTTACATCTCTAATACAAATACAGAGCCCAAGATCCTAGTCCCCTAAATGACCATGGCAATACCCTTGAAAGAGTAAGAGTGGTTGGAGCAGTGAAGGAACTGCTGCCACGCAACTCTGATGATTTGAATCTCAGCCTATTTTAAAAACCAACAAGTGGATAATAAGCACTTTTGTTATGCAACAGGAAAATGGCACTTTATACTTAAAACAGTAAAATAAACATACTCTCTCATCTTGACTTTTCAGCACATTAAATTTGTACTGTGATGCAGACTTGTAACCTAGTGAATCCCACTGGTCATACAAAGAGACCTGAATCTCTCAGTTCATAAAAGGGCAAATCCTGATGATTGTGCTACTGTGCTAGAACTACAAGTTGAACCTCTCTGGTCCGAGACTCTCTGATCCAGTAACATCTATGATCCCGCTGGATCAGAGAGCCCCTGCACAGGTGCTGACAGCAACGGAGCCTGGTGTCCAGGGCCGGCTGGCGATCAGGAGGGGAGCCAAACCAGCGGCTGGGGCCAGCAGTAGAACTGGGCCAGAGGCACGGAGCCAGAGTGGGGCCCAACCAGGTCTGCTGACAGACCTTGGGAGAGCACAGAGCCCGGCAGAGGGGCCAGAAATGACCTCTCCTGGTTCAGCAAACACCCTCCTTCGGGACTAGTCAGGTCACGAGGGTGCCGGACCCAGAAAGGTCCAACCTATAGGAGGAGGAGCATGGTGTGCAAGATTGCCTACTGTTTAAATTCTATTCGAATAAAAATGACAATCCCTAAATAAAATCACCAACCACCTCTTAGCTACATAAATATTTCTAAGACTTACATTAGTGATTATTCGGTGGAGTGAATTTACCAGCACATACTGAAATGTTGATGGGGTATTCTGTGCCAAGCAGATCTAGAAGGAAAACATTAATATAAAAGCCATTTAGGAAAAATTATTTAACATCCCTCGAGATCAGATTGAACAAAGCACCAATTCAATTTATTAAATTTAAAAGTGTCAATACACGTAGTATCAGAACAGCAGGACTAGAGTGATATAAAATACTAAAAGAATCATTGACAAATATAGTACATTTGAAATTTATGAAATTCTAGCTGCTGCTAACATAGCCTTGATGCCTGACAGGTCATAAATAGCAGCAGAAGAGACTACTTGTCCATAAAATCATGGACTCACCTTAAGATATGGGTTCTTCTGAGGGTTTATACGAAAGCAGGAAACTAAGCAGTCTATCATAAGGTCTACATCTGCATTCTGATTGCCTCTTGAGAAAGGTTTACTTGGATTAAACAGCAAGGTCTACACACACAAAAATTCAGATAAAAATGTTATTCCAGTCTGCTTGTAATATACAATTAATTTGTTAAAAATCAGAGGAGACCACTTCAAGTGTTACAATTTTTAAAATCTTCTAATATTTGTTGTTTCTGAAAACACAACCTTTCCCTTGCTAATACTACTTAAAAAAACCCAGTATTTTAAAACAAAAATACAAGGTTGGATTTTCGGATGCCATATCGCAATACCAATAAAAACTTTTTTATAGATCTAAAAAACAAAAGAAATTTCTGAAGTTATCCCACATGTAATTCACCTATTTAGTCTCAAGCTTGGTTGATTACATGTCGCAATACCAGGCTTATCTAGACGACAGAACGGTTGAAAGAGGATATGCAAATTCCGCGGGAATTCGAAAGTGAAAGTAGTTTAGACGTGTCTTTTTCTGCTAACTCCTCCCCCCCAGTTGAAAAGCCGCGTAAACCTCATTTTTCGAAGAAGAGCAGCTTTTCGACAAAGGAGGGGGGGAGTTCGCCGAAAAAGCCGCATCTAAACTATTTTCACTTTCGAAAGCTCTGCTTTCAAAAGTGCGATCAGAAGAAGATATGCAAATTCCAGCTGAATTTGCATATCATCTTTTGACTGTTCCCTGTAGTCTAGTTAAGCCCACCCAGAACTAACAACGTATTTGGAAGAGCAAGAAGTGGTTTGGGTATAATACAGGAGTGAGCAAGGGTCCTCTGTGGGCCGAATACAGCACACCAAGCCAGTGGATTTTTAAAGTTTTAAAACAGCTGGCGGTTCTCTCTAGCTGCCATACACTCCTAGCAGGGCAGAGACAGGGGGTGAGAAACTTCACATGCTCCCCACCATAACCAGGCCCTGACTGGCCTTGGGGTGGGGGAGTGTATGAGGTCTCCTCCCATTGCTGCACCTAAAGTGAATTGCCAGTTTTTTTACAACAGCTGGCAAGTCTCTCGGGGAAGGGGAAAGACTTCATGTGCCCCCACACCTCCAGGACAATCAGGATCTGTGAGCAGGAGAGCAGAGAAGTCTTCTGAGCCCACCCCTTCCATTCAAGGCGACACCCCTTCTGGGGTTGCCCAGGGCCATTTCAGAAATTCGGGAAGTTGCCCCCTTTTAAAAATTGCCCACCTGTGGCATAACCGTATAGGGGCTGTAAGTGGGTAAAAGTTGCTTGAAGAGAAAATAAAATATTTTTAGTGCTATTTAAGCCAAAAGCCATTCAGAATGTTAGAGCTGCAATACTGGTGCAATTATAATACTAGATCAATCACAGCTTGCTTACAAAAATGCTACCAAAGGTACTCCAAGACACTGAGTTAATTAACGAAAGACAAAGTGAAATGAATTTTCTTATCAGATATAGGATATGACAAAATAATTTCCAGACTCTTCTTGTTTTCTCTTTACCTTAAGATCATCAACCATGGACTGTACTAGAAGGAAAATGACAGAATTATCTTCCCAGTTAATGTAGGTTGATGCTTTACACAGTTTAACACAAGCAATAGCAGCACTTTCGGTCAGCTGTCTGCTTCCACTATGGCTTGCAAGTGCTTTCCTGAGGTTGTCCAGAAACAGTTTCTGCAGAATTCGAATATAACAACCAAAAAAGAACAGAAATAAATAGTTAAAACCAATATTTAGGAGCTGTGGACAAATCATTTACATCTTTAAAAAAAATATTTGCTGATAAGGATTTCTAAAAACGTGCTACAAATATTTAGTCAGGAGTCAGTTCACAAGGATATTGGAGAGGGTAAAAAACCAATTCGCATGTCTGATCTGCTTAGTAGGGTCTGTCTATTGCTTTGAAATATTCTGGGATATCCGATTAGAAAAGCATATTTTATTCATTACACACTCACATTTTATACCATTCACATTTGTGTGAAGACACCACCTTATATTTAGCTTTGCAATGATCAACATGGATTCTCTAGAGCTAGAGGACAGCTTATTTTTAAGCTTTTAAATTAGCAGTTACCTAAAACTTTATTACAGGACTTGGAGAGGAATAGCAGGATTCAAAACTCTAGGACAGTTCTTTGCGCTCAAGCCCCGCAGGGGGTATAAAGTGCTGAGGTGGCAGTTTGTTCATCAACATGAGTGAATGACATACACTGTTCTGCCCAAACCCTTTTTTTAGTTTCAGGAATGGGACTGTCAGGAGTAGCTCTCCAACCCTCAGCAAGCAGGATATATGCAAATATATGTGAGAGCTCCAAGAAGCCTGAATAATAAGGAAAAAATAGAGATTTAATATGGGGTATTAATGTGTGCTTTTAAAACAGAGACGAAGTAGCTTTACATCAGAGACTATAGTTTTAAAACAATAAGGACCAGCCAAGACTAACATCCTACAGAATTCAGACTTGTATTGACTAAGACATTTTAGTTTTCTTCACCTTGTTTATTTTGGTCTCCTCTACGACATCCTTGGTTATATCTTGGATGATTTCTGGACACAGGACAAGAAGAATGATTTGCAGTGGCCATACTGCTGCTTTACGTTTCGTGCTTTCGGCAAAACCATCCACCAAGTCAAACAACTTCTCTGCACAATCTACATTATAAAACAACCAAATGACTACGGGAGAAATACTAAGGGGAAAAGTGTTTAAATGTCCTGCTACGTTTAGTTCATAGTTCCAATTTGCAAAGAGCATTAATCAAAAGTAAAGCACTAAAAATCTTTGAATTTTGGTTCAATAAACAACAAAAGAAATATGAACAAGACAGCTACAAATATAATTTATTCACAAGAAATGACAACTAGATGATTCAAGAAATACACATGATCTGTGGATGAAGACTTATATCAGAGCTAGGTATTATTGTCTGCAGAAAGAACTGGGGAATGAAAGAGAGGATTTCAAACATATACAGGGGAAAAAAGTTGATCAAAAATACTATACTGTATTTGAGATGTGAAATGGTAGCTGAAGATTTAAACTGTGAAAAACCTTCCAGAATTCTGGTTCTACAGATGACATTAAAATATGCACATATAAGTAACAGACATTACAGCTTGTTGTTTTGGAGTTTAGATATAGGTCCTGCTATGATACAAATGGAAAATGTAAGGCAGTGTCTTGAGTATTGACAAGCAAAATAAGTTTGGCACCACTTTTGAGGAGAAAGATAAAGAGAAACGTTAGAGGAAAAGTGTGGCTCCATCTAGAAAAATAAAAACTATTTTGCAACCATGTTTAAACATGGCATTGTGGCTAGTGGGCTATAATGTGCTCAAGTCCTTCTTTATTCAGAAAGACTAAAACACATGTAAAGCCCTGCATCAATACAAAATTTGCATCCTCAAACACATGCAGATTTGCAGAACCCTAGATATAAAATCTGGAGCTGTATCCATCTATGATCTGCAAACATGGTCCACAGATAGCCGCAGATTTACAGAGCTCTGAACATATATTGACATGCCATTTCTCAACAGGAATGCTTTCCTGAATCAGAACTAAACTGTATTTGTACATTTAAATACTTTTATTTGTATGTAAGATAATCTATGTTTGTGCATTCTGTGTACTTGTTCTGTGTATCAAAATAGTGGTCCAGTTACCATCCTTACCCCCAATTCTACTTACTGAGTGAAGGGAGAGAACAAGCTCGTCCCAAGCTTCTCTAACAAAGGCTGGCAGAAAGATACTTCTTTTATATGCCAGCTGTCTGAGAAAGCAAGGAGTTTTCAAAATGCCAGTGAAGTTGGTGGACTGACAAAGCTTTGTGAAAAAAGACAACCAGCGTACCTAGTCTGATAAATCTATATTTTACGAGATACACATCAAGATGATTTGTTATATCTTACCCGCCATATCTGTCTGTGGTGTCTGGTACAGCTTTGTGAATTCATCAGGATAGTTTTCCACCCAATTCCAAAATGCCTATAGATAATTCAACACGTCTTTACACATACGCAACAATCAGTTTAGGAAATAAACTCATTTTAGAAATAAACTTCCAGTGGAAGAGATGACTTTATTTTGTCCTTCAGAGTCTCAGCATGCAGTGCTTTTATAGCAGAACTCTCAAACATGTGTTTTACAGTGAAAAGTGATCTCTCCAAGATAAACTAGTGTTTGCCTGGCTCCTAAATTCAAACAGTAGCATGAGACTGCAAATCAATAACTGAGGAACAGCAAGAAAATTCCATTTAGAATATATCAATAGCAACATACTTGCCTTTTCAAGACTGTTTATAACTGCCAGTTGAGCTACTTTCTTTAGGGCTTTAAACTTAAATACGGTCTCTGTAAAATAAAAAATGTCAACATTTGAAAGAGAAATTCATTAATAGGCGCTATACATAAAATTCAACCCAATATATCAGCTTAGGAGTTCTAAGCACCAGATATATTTAAACCAGATGCTATTTACAATTTGAATTACTTAAATAAAATATTTGTTAATAAATATATAGTAATAAATTACATTAGTGCAGTGGTCCCCAACATTTTGGGGTTGCCAGGTGCCCGGGGGCAGGGCCGCTCACGTGCCGCGCGTACGGGGGCGGAGCCGCTCACGGGCCATGGGACTGGGGGCAGGACCAAGCATGCGCCGCACGCCCGGGGCAGGCACCGGCATGCGCCGCGATCCCGGGGCAGGGGCCGCCCATGCGCCCGGGGCTGGCACCTGCCGCGCGCCTGGGGCTGGCACCTGCCCAGATTGCTCTGTGGGTGCACATAAATGGCCCAGCGGGCGTCATGGCGCCCGCAGGCACCGCGTTGGGGACCACTGCATTAGCCTAACTGTGTGTGGAGGATCACGCCAGTATGGATCCTAAACAGATAATTATAGCAGCATAAAACTATGTTGAAGGGCTGAACTATAGACTGGTTTCACAACCTACCTTGCAATATTCGTTTCAATTTTACACAGTCCACACTAATATACTGTAAAAGTTCAATATCATGAACATCAGCATTATCCTCTGAACACACGGTCAGTTCCTGCAATCTAAAGAGATGAAGAACAAAGTAAATAACTCAAAACAAATTAAATTAACTTCCCAACACAGATAACATCAGCCATGGCTGACATGCTCATACTTATAAAAATACCACCTATTATACAGGTGAAATGAAAATAAATACTAAACAACTGAGTATTAAAACATCATTATCCCATCCAGAGACTTGCCGTTAGAACTTTGACAGATCCAGGAATTAAAAACAAACTTTGGATAACTATTGAGAGTTAATTTTTATAGAATATTTTCTTTTTACCTTCATACAGAAAAGTTTCAGAAGAGACTTGTTTAACCTTTCAAAATGGAAGCTTCAAATGCCATCAGTTTACATTTATGTGTACACCAAATTTTACCCTATATCCTCTTTTTCTTTATAATGCTGTGGAAGTAATCTATATTACATTTCACCTAGGCATTGACCTGCCTGGCTCATGCTGGTGACGCCTTTGGGCATGCCTCTGGGAATGTGTGCCTTGCTTTCCACTTGAGCTATACTATCTGGCCCTAATCAGGAGCATTCACTGAGACTGAAGGGGACAGACTGCAGTTAGCCTCAACTAAAGGAGAGCATCCTGCTCCCCCCCTTTGTCTCTAATGAAACTGAATTAGTTTTAATCACATTAGTTTAAGTACTGTGGTAATTCCCCCCTCCGTCCTTTTTAGAGGGTAACTTACTAAACATAACCACAAGCCTCTAATAACTAAATCATATGCTTCTGCAAGCTAAAAAATTGTGTTCGCCCCTTCCAAAGCTACAGATGTGTACTTCACATGATATGCAATTTCTAGCACTCCACACAAAAGCAGCTCTTATTTCATCAATGCAGGGAAAACTGAACAGCCCACACTAAGAATGGGAAGGTCCCTGATGCTGTGCTTTACATGCCAAAAATTCCCCAGCTGCTGTACAGAGCCTAGAAATATGCCTAAACAGGAAGCATGGGTCAAAAGATCAGCAATGCTAACTGTCGGCAGGCTGACCTCTGCGGATATTAGCAACAAACAGCCAAATGTTTAACTATTTCTATACCAATGAAAAAAATAGAATTGTGTGGAAACAAAACAAAACAAAAAAAGAAATCTCCAGCCTTGAAACAGTGAAAATTTCAAAATTAAGTTTCAGTACAAAAGATTCATAATAAAAACTATACTGCAGCTGTATAAACAGATTCACATTAAAGAACTATACCCTATAAAGGAAATGCACAGAATTATTTCCTATTTTGTAAGCAAATAAACTTAATTTATTTAGCAAAATCACATCCTCCATCATAGGTGCCAAGTCTAGGGCCTCGAATCAGAGGTTATTAATGCCTTTTAACATTGAAAAAATAGTTAATATTTCAGCTAATTAGATTTTTACCAAGTTTCATATTTAAAATTTGAATGCACTTCCAATCTAATGTTCACAAAGTTTTTAATTGTGTAAGTTTCACAAGCCCTAGTTTTAATTAGACCATTATACTAAAACCAAACCATGGAGCATCAGCTGCAACAACAAATTATCCAGTCTCAAGTACTACTGTTGATTATAATTACTCTAATAAGAGTTAAGTCTTTTCAAGCAACTTTCAAAGAACATAAAAGCATTTCCTTAATAAAAGCTTTCTGTGCAACCTTGGTGGGCTGGCTGAAGACATTAGCACCAAGGAGAGGCATGCACTGGGGAAAGCATACCTTGAGCATCAGCTGCAACAACAAATTATCCAGTCTCAAGTACTACTGTTGATTATAATTACTCTAATAAGAGTTAAGTCTTTTCAAGCAACTTTCAAAGAACATAAAAGCATTTCCTTAATAAAAGCTTTCTGTGCAACCTTGGTGGGCTGGCTGAAGACATTAGCACCAAGGAGAGGCATGCACTGGGGAAAGCATACCTTGGACCCAACTTGCCTTTTATTTAGAGGGGTGTAAATCCATTATAATCAGTAGAGTTACTCCAATATGAAACTCATGTGAGAGGACAAGGAGGCTCCTTCCAAAGCCAATGAAGAGTAATATTCTTAAAGTCAAGGCAAATATGCCCCATTCTCCTTCAAAGGATGGATAGACATGGGCCTTCAAGCAGGGATAATTAGGGGAGGACAATACCCTTACCCCCCCCCCAACAGAGCTGCAGAGAACTAGAAATTACCATAAAACAGCAAACATTAATGGATAAAACTTTCTTGCTAGCAAGCACCCAACATACATTTCAACTTGGTTTAATCATTAGTGCCAGTCTATGATGTGCATGGTTCATATAAAAGCAGGATTAAAAATAATTACATTTAGCACACAGAAAATAAGCTGTGAAAACCCCTTAAAATTAGTCTGATTCTGCATCTATTTTATCAATTGATTCTTAAGCAGAGTTTTGGAACGTACAGGAATTTTCATCAGAAAACATTTTAAATAAGCAGCTCATGTGATATAAACTCATCACCATTTTCAAGTTAATATTTTTCAGAGCAGAAAGATCTGTCATGAATTTTTGCCTTTGTTTTAATATACTCTAATTAGAGACAGACAAGTCTCACTGTTTGGTAATACTTCCAATAGATTGGATACGCTCTGCCATTCAGACTCTCACCTGGTGGAAATGCGGCTAAAGACAGCATTAAAATTATTGCAACTGAGAGAGAAGAGAACCCCAGAGGCAGAATTGCGAAGTTCAGCTGCATGTTGGTTTCCTTCGCGGTAGGTATGGATAAAATGGCAGATTTCTGGCAGCAACTGTTTGACCAGCATCGTTTCATCTAGTCGCATGGTGTCCTTTGGTTGCTAAAATGTAAACATTTCACTTAATTCCTGAAATTCTCTTTCATAGCATCATAGGCAAAAATAGTATTTCTAGTCACTATAATCACAGGAACAGATATTTTACTACTTACTCTGTACCTATGCTAAACCCCCACAGACTTCAATGAAGATTAAGTGGAAAAACTCTAATACGCCCCCTGCTAACAGTAATTTCCTATAATTTCACATAAAGTAGAATTTTCAAATGCGTTTGCATCCCAAACTTATGGGACACTGTTAGTAGCTCAATACCATCAAGTACTGACTGGGCTATCAAAACACTTTTTCTTTTTTTTTTTTTTTTTTTGAGCTAAAGGTTTGAATATTGTCTTAAGGGATACACCCTGCCAATCTGTCAAAGCATTGGTGTTAAGAGCATTTGAGTCACTTATTTGGCATAGAAGAACCTAAGCTAAACTCCTACTCTTAATTCTCTCAAATGTTTTTTAACAGTTGTTTTTCTCCAGTAGAGATTTAAAAGACATGATGAGGGAGAGGGTGCTTCTTTATTGACTCACTGTGATTCCAGACAAGAACAAAGACATCTACGCTTTCCTGCAGAATTCTTCTTTTTCCACTTTACATAGTGTGAAACAGAAGAAAACTATTTAACAAAGAATTTGAAGTGCAACTTTTCCAAGAGTCTTAACAGAGACTTTTAAAATCCTACCAAAGAAATTACTACAGGGAATTCAGAAGTTACAGTGATCCCACTTTAATTGACCTGAGTCTTGTTGCCATGAGAACTTGCTGAAACATTAAGAAGCAATAGTAAATAAGAAATATGTCTGAACATATCATAGAACACAACTCTCTTTGTATACAGTTTTGGCTCAACATACTGGCTCAATTTGCTTTCATCTGTATTGACAAGACAAGAGGCATTCAGTACAATTTTAGGCTGTTAGAGGTTTCTTCATGTATCTGAAAAAAACTGAGGTTTTGATCAATATAAATTGCGGCTTTTTTTAAAAGGAAGATATGGATTTATGAAATGAGAGAAGACTAGGTTTCACATTAAACACAGGAAAGAAAATATGGTATAATTTACTTTTTTTTTTAATTGAAATCTAGTCTGCATTATGTAGATACAAAGCAAGATTACTTAAATAGTCAGGGTCATTAAAAGATGTTCTATCTTAATAAACCAAACTATGTGTTTACTACTCTGTAAAGAAATACCTTTTACAACCAGTTCCAAGGAATGACAAACGATGCTAAAAAAAAACTCTCTAGGAATAAACCAGAGACTCAGAGTTTTTACTTAAGATGAAGTTTGGATTTGCAATTATACAACTGTTTTCATCCCAAAGGTAAAAGTAAACTGCTTCTCCTTTTTTCATTCAAATATTTTCTGAAAGTCTGAGAGGAAACCTCAGGACTGGACCCCCTTTGGAAGTCTGGATATGATTAAATAAACTAGGAAATACCTGCAAAAGTAATCTTAACATGGTAATAGTTAAGGTTTCTGTCTAGGTATAGGATTACCGAAAATAGAAACAGAACTACATCAACAAGAAATCTCTACTTTGTTTACGAAACACTATGAGTTCCACAAATGTTATCAAGTTTAATATACTGAAGTATTTATATTTTAATATTTATTATTTGACCTATTTAAAATGATTGTAAATGATATCCTTTAAGGTTTCTGTATTACATTATAAAAAAAAATATTGTTCTGTTTGTTACCCTACCATACTGTTTTTAACATCTGACTCCACCTACAGTTTATACACATGCAATAAAAGCTTAACAATGACATCTATTACTTGTTTTCCATGCACATAATGGTTTATTATATGCATTTTTAGAGAAATACACAATATTAAAACTTTGAAAGTGAAGTGGAGAAAAGGTTAGATCTGAAACTTTCCTTTGTCCATTTAGTTAACAAATCAAGGCACTTCTGATCATTGTTAGTTAGGGATGAGAGGATGGAAGTTCTTCACATTATTTGATCAGTTACACTAGCTATTTCATAGGACTTTTTCTAAAATTAGTATTAAATTCTATGTGACAAATCAGATTGTTAGTTTACTAGTACCTAGTACACACACCGCACATTTATAGGACTTCTGCTCACTGCCTCTACATCTAATTCAGAAACTCAGCAATCCATTATATATTAGACTACATACCCCAGCAAGACATTTTTCCAGTGTATCCAATATAATCAGCTGAGAGAGATATAAATTCTTTTCAGCAGCTTCTCCAAATATCCTCTAGAAGAAAAATACAGATTTAGCTCCAGTGCAAACATCTAAATGGTAGACCATTGCAGTATTTAGGTGATACAGTAAATCTGCTGGGGGTTAAGCAGCAAAGTAATGCTCTAGCCCTTCCATCATTGGATCTCTGGGTTCAAATTTAGAGACAGGGCCAATGAAAATAAGATTAATGGTTCATTCCTAGTTCCTAGCATGAAGTGAGTAAACTGTTTTGGCATGATTGACAAACTGCACAAATATAACGAGGTAGAGGCAGGCCGGTTAGTATTATGGGTACACTAGCAGACCAAATAGAAGTGCAAGCCCTTCACTTTCATGACTCCAAAATTCATTCAAAAAATGACAGTTACACTTCTCTTTTAGAAGCTATTTTAGTAACTATCATTGTTGGTCTAAAGTATCTGATTTCTTTTGTCTAAAAATATCTGATTTCTTTAGTGCAGTATTTTATTGCCAAAAATACTTAACAGAACTGAGGTTTCCACAAATCCATGAACACAAACTTAGTTTGATTGCTGCAGAATTTAGCATAGACCACAGGAAGAAACACCATCTTCAAAGCATTTTAAATCTAGGATGCAGGAATCTATCACACATTTAAATTTGCATCCAATTTCCCTATCGGCACCAATGACTAAGCATATCAATATTCAGATGGAACAGCAAAAACAAAGCAGAAAAGGGTCGGCCCCCCCAAAAAATGCATCTAGTTCCATTGACCATAGATAGAATTCACAATAAGAGATTTCTAAAAATAATGCAATAATTAAAACGGCAAGAAATGTTAGTTCAAATATCTATAGGTATTAGCTGAGCAGGAGGCCTCTTGAAGCTATCTTTTCTAAACATGGAGTACACTGTAGGGATGTAATAGCGTAGTCAATTAACCAAGAAGCAAAAGCTTATAGGTTAATGCTATAGACAACATGCATTTCCCCCCCTACCCGCACCTGCCAGTACATTTAGCAGCAGGCTGGCCAGTAGACCAGCTCAGTCCTGGGTCATGCCAGGTCTGGGACCTACCCCTGTTGTGGCTCTGCATTTAAAGTGTATTAGGAGCCAGGTGGGCAGGCAGCCTGGTTCAGTTCCAGCTCGTGCTGGGTCTGGGAGCTCAGCCCCTCCCCTGTACAGTAATAGAGGCAGCAGCACAGGGCAACAGGCAGTCGGTCCGTGAGGGGAGCTGGTTTTTAAATTGGCCCACCTGGCACCCCACACAGCTGCCTCTGATACAGAGGCAGCAGCATGGAGTGGCAGGGGGCTCCTCGGGAGTGGGGCTGGAGTGTACTGGCCTCCCCCGGGACTATAGAATAGTCAACTAAACCGATAAATTCATGAGGTTACTCAACTATTCAATTAACCAATATTTAACATCCCTAGTACACTGATGGCACACGGTCTACTGGTGTGTCTGGTTTCCATTCTGAAAGTATGCCTGAAATATATTGCAAGATGATTGGGGTATATCCAATTCTTTCTTCCTCCACCATAGGAAAAGTAAAGTCTTGCTACAGAACATAGATATGAGAAGACTCATTCTTCTATTTTTGCACTTTATGGAGGGATTTACTTCAAGTACCAAGTCAGATTAATACTTTTAATGCAGCTTTCCATAAATACTATACATGGCTGGTATTCCCTCAGTGACCTTGCCCACTTGGCTTACCCAGAACTCCTGTCCAGTTCTTTGGGATGCAAAATACTCAGTTCAACCACAGATTTCACTATTTGGGTCCCTCTATTTGGCATACAACAAAGCTATGCTAAATTGATTAGACTCAAGTAAATGGGCTGGTTATATGACATACCACAGATCCAAAGTAATACACTTCATATACATATACAAATAACATTGCATTTACTATGTACTTTGTAGGACATGTTTTTGGATTGGTTTGGTTACTTTGTAGTGTCAAATCCCCATGCAATGTGCTCTTCATATAGAACCTGAACTTCACATTCCAGGTTCCTCTTTGTCCATTATTAGGAAGTGGTTTTCTGGGTGTTTTCCCTCTTACCTTAACTGGCTCAAACCTTTTTCAACCTAACAATCTCTTTTACCGCCCTATTTCTAACTTCTAAGAAATGAAGCCTCCCTACAGGTATCAATTGCTCACACCAGGCCATGTCTAAGTTACATAAACCAGATACTATACAAAATTTTTGTTTCTGATTGTATAGCTTACACTCTTATTTTTGAGATGGCACTATTAATTTTTATGGCCACTACAGAGAATATAGGCTATTACTTCTCTTGTTCTGTTGAGAAAATATGTTGCCCTTTAGGGAGCCCACCTAAGTGCTGTAGGTTAGTGAAAAATCAAGTTTTGTCATGACAGATCCGATGGTTTGGAACTCGATCACTGATGAAATCCGCTTCATTTCTTCATTTCTTTGTAAAAGTAACTACGATTTCACATCTTGCCTACCTCAGTGGAAGTTTTTATTTTTCCTAGAATGAAGATCCATATTTAATAATTGTCCCTCATTCCTTTTTTCCCCCTCTGATAACTAGTTTGATAGGGTATAATAGACAATATTCATATAATCAGGGTGAGGTTTCATTAATATTTCAGTATATTTTTAAAAGTCATTCTATGCTCTGCTTCGGTCCACTTCACAAACAGAGAATGGAAGGAGACTTTGTTTAATGTTACACATTTGAGTATGAAAGGATCTTTTTGCAATTTGATGAAAAGGCCTTCTGGACCCTTTTTCTGTTCCTTTGCCTGCTGCCATCAAGAACGCAGTGGAAAGGAAGGTCCTTGGATCCTCCCAAGAAACACTGCAAGTCACATTAAATGTCAGGGGGGCAGGGAAATGTTAGGGGGACACTCCACTTAAGGCATTCATCCCTTACTGGCCTATCAGGGATGTTTTCAGGAGATTAACTGTATAGGACTACCACTAGATCAAAGAGTCTTTTTCAAGACTTTTCCTTCATAGATCTCAACTGATAATTTTGTATGGCTGCTAGATTTTTTCTTTTGTTTTGTTTTTAAATATAATTTATGAGACAGCAACTTGAGAATGACTGCATGGTGCACTTATGCCACTGTATGACAGACCCTAAAAAGAATATAATACCCTAGAGTTTGTTTTAAATGCTTGTTCATTTCTCCTCTTCGAACACTGCTCTTCCTGACAAGACACAGTCTACCAGAAGGGATTAAAACTGCTCTCATCGCTCTGGGTACTGTTCGCTGGATCTCTGCCCAAATGCCCATTCCTTCTCCTCTAAGGCTGCAAAATATTGCTTCGTTAGTGAAAAGGCATGCGCATGCAGTTGTACAGAGAGAACTCATTTCCCAGGGATCAAGTGCACCACTTACACAGTATATTCCACTTGGTTTGGAGAGCAGGCATGCAAAGATTGCTTACAAACCCAGGTTTAACTTAGCCATCTATACTTTTCCATCCCATCCCTCAGGGACTGACACATTTAGGGTTATCCAATACAGCATTTTTATCATCTTCTTTGCAGACCTTGCTGCCCATTTTCCCCATCACCCCATATGCAATGTATGTCCTCATTTCAATTTTGTTGGTTAGCTTTACTGCATTTGAAGAAAAAAAAGTAGGTGAACTGGTAACCTATTAAATGCATAAAATGAAACAGCAATTTAAATCAATGTCAGACTGAGCATTTTATAAAGTTTCTGTAAATAAAATTTTTATAACCTTTTCCAAAACCACCTAATAAAGCAAAACCAGAAAGCTTACCATATTGTTGACATTTTTTAAGATATTAGTGAGACCACTGATGACGAGGGAAAACTTGTACTTGGAAATGTTTATGAGACATTCCTTGTTATGTTCTGTGCTGACTTTGGTGTGGGTATTCTGCTGGCCAGCTTTTATGGGAAGCTGCAAAAAAAAATGGAACATTACTTAAGATTTGTATATTAAGTTAGAGATTTACACTTTCACACGAAGGTTAAAGATTGCTTGAGGCTTTATATACTACTAGCAAATCTACCCAGCATTTCTCAGGTTCTGAACTCAATTACATTTTTGGAGGGAGGTGGGGTGGAAAGAGGAATTAAAAGAAAAATATACATGCTTTATTTAAGTGACTATTTTTTGAAAAATACAATATTATTTTTAATTTCAGATTTCTTAAAGATAGGGATTGTTAAAATTTTTCCGTTTAATTATTGTTAATACTTTGTTTTAAATAGGAATTCCATCAAGTGATTTTTTTTCCTTCATCCCTTTAAACCAAGAGTGGGGAACTTTTTTTTGGGTCGGAGGCTGCTGAGAAACAGAAAAAAAAATCAGTCAGGGACTGCAGACAAGTGAGAAGCAAAGAAGAAAAACCACATTCTCACTGACATGATCCGCAACTGAGAAGGAGAAAGATATTCTCCACATTTGCCTCACACACCAGAGCCTTGGGGGGCCCAAGCTAATAGATTTAGTGTGCTCCAGTCCAGGGTGGGATGGTGGAGGGGATGGAGTGCCAGTGTGGGCTCCCCATTGCTTGGGGGACAGCTCTGAGTCTCGGGAGCTGAATCCAGGCAAGCTGGGGTCTGCATCCAGCCCCTGGACCTTAGACTCCCCACCATTGCTATAAACTTTTACAACATTATGTCTTAACAAAAAAGGAGTGATAGTCAATTTGGTTTCCAACAGCATTTTCTGCTTGTTTTCAAACCATAAGCATTGATTTAGCTATTTTAAAACAGAGCACTACTCCAAATTTCTTTTTATCTCTTTTCAGTAAGGTTTAGTGAGAAGCAGGTTCATCCTATTTTTCTGGAGCTCATCCTGGGTTCAGGCTCTTCCAACAGTTGCTCAGCTCTGTCAGTTTTGAAGACTGTACTTGATTTGTGATTGTCTCTTTTCTGTTTGGTTTTATGAGAAACAATCCCATTCCAGGCACATCCAAATGTTGCTTTAAGTTATGATAAGAGGAAGCTGCATACTGAATTTGGTGGTCCTGGCTCTTACCCTTCTGGAGGAGTTCCCAAACCTTAAGCATTAATTTAGCTGTGCCAAAAAACAGCACTATTCCAAATTTCTCCATTTTATCTCTTTTCTGTAAGGTTTATTTTCCAGGTTCATCTGATTTTTCTGGTTCATCTTGGTTTAGTCCAGGGGTGAACTGGAGGGGTTCAGAGGAAGCAACATGGGGTGGCAGCAGCCCCTGTCTGCTTGAGGTCTGCACACCCCGCAGCCTAAGGCTGCCCTACCTCTCACAAAGCAGTCTCTGTCTGTGGCAGACCCAGGCTCCAAATCTTCTTCGTGGAAGGTGGAGCAGCCTCTGTCTGCGGGAACCTTGGGCCCGCAGCAGACAGAACCTGCTTAGTGGAAGCCTCCCCTGTCTCCCTCCTGCGCTGCTGCCTCCAACAATGGGGGTGTAGGAGTCAGGGTTGTAGTGGGAGGCTCAGGGCAGGAGTGGGGACGTGGAGGGGAGTTGGATTCAGGACAGGGAGTTGGGGATTTGGGGATCAGAGCATTGGGTTAGTGTTAATGTGTGTAGGGGGATGCAGTGAGGGCAGGGGAGGCTGAAACTGCTTGCTGTTCCCCTTCCTGTCCCTGTCAGGGAGCGAGAGCAAAGTGCACAGCTTGTCTACACCGTGCACTCCCCAATCAGAGGGAGAAGAAAGCAGCCAACCGTGCATTTTCCCCCTCGCTCCCTGACTGTAACAAAGGGGAACAGCCAGCTATGTCCCTGATCAAATCAGGATGGCAGGGGAGAGCAGAACTTTAGCCCCCTCCCCATATCCTCCTTAAAGTGCTCCTGGAGGTGGGAGGCTCACAGCATGGGCAGTTCTGGACTGGGGGTGACATGCACCCAGCCTGCGTCTTTCACCTGCCTGGCTGCCCACTGCTTAGTGCAGCAGCCTGTAGCAGAGCCCCGGGAGTCAGGCTAGAAGCGTGCACTGCCTCCTCCTGTAGCCAACGCCCCAGCCAGCAGGCTCCTTCTTACCGGACTGGCGCACAAGGGCTCACCCACTAATTTTCACCTGCGGTTCAGTCTTTCAACATTCGCTGAATGATATCAATTGTGAGGACTGTTCTTGATTTGGTGATTCTGTCTCTTTGCTGTTTGGTTTTATGTGAAGCAATCCCATTCCAGACACATCCTGTTTTCCTGGTACAAATGAACCCTTATGTTGCTTCCTTTAAATTATGGCAAAAGGACGCTGTATACTGAATCTGGTATTCCTAGCTCTTACCATTTAGGAGGAGTTCTTGATCAGACAGACAAACTCTCAAACACAGGTGGAGGAGCCTAAGGCCTGGGGGCCAAATGCAGCACCCAGCTTCCCTGGATCTGGCCTCCAGCGTTCCCCTCTAGTATCCAGGAGCCTGCAGAGCTGGAGCACACAAAATCTACTCGGGGCACCCTAAGCTCTGGTGTGTGAGGGGAATGTGGTTAAGGTCTTTCTCCTTCTCAGCCAGGGTTTTTTTTGTGTTGTTTTATTTATTGCTGCTTTTTACTTGTGTGCTGTTCCCTGACTGATTTTTCTGTGGGTCAGTGGCCCCCAACCCAAAAAGTTCCTCACCCTTGCTCTTTGTTATAAAACTTTCTATTAACATTCTATTAAATACAGTTTTACAGAAATATATAACTATATTTCTCATCTTTTTCTGCTAAGGACATTTGCAGGAAACAGTATCACGATTCACCTGTTTTTACTGCTTATTTCTCAACTACCATCAAACATCTGTTCTGTGACAATCTTCAAACAAAGCAAATTCAGTGTTAGAAGTATGATTACAAGTAGCTAAGCAATCAAACTGAACAAACATCTAGAGACTGCTCCTGTTTTCATAAAAATATAGCAAAAATAAGTGTGTTCTATGTTTATGAAGCTACACATTGACTTCAAGGTCTCCAGTGAAACTTATCAGCATAAGAAGGATGACAATAGAGTAAAAGAAATTCAGGGCTGTCTTGGGTGACAAACTCAAGCAGCATTCCAATATTCACTGTAATTCCATCTAACTGTTTCAGAAAGTTATTCTACAGATCCTCATCCATCAACAAGCAGCACAGCAAAACTGTCAGACTACAAAAACATGAGGCAATATCATAGAGCCTCGCACAACAGCAATAAATTGCTAAAGCCTCAGAATGTTTTAGTGTACATTAAACCTATCCCCTTCTGGGACAAGATAATTCCTTGAATCACAATGAGGTGTGGAGTCTTAGCACACTTCTTACAAATCTTTCCAAGCTCCACTTTTTTATGCAACAACAAATGATGAGCAAGGAACTTTGAGAGTTTCAGCTAAGTACAGACACATCGTAAGGCTAAGATAGTCTTGTAGATTATGAAAGCAATTGTAAAATGTGTTAAATATGTTTTAATTAATGTATTAGCAAAACTATTTCAGAAAAACTATTTGAGGGGTTTAGGGATGGGGCAAAAGACTGGAGTGCAGGGAAGGTGAGGTCTCCAGCTGTGGCTGTGGAAAGGGCCTAATGAGGAGAGATTTGGAGTGCAAGCTGCCTGGGACTGCAGCAGGGAGAGGGACCTCCTCCTTGCCCCCAGCCCTCTCTTGTTGCAGCAGCTATGGGGCTGAAGCCCTGGGGGAGAGATGCCGCTCCCCATTAAAGCTCTGAGCATCTGTGTGGCCTAGGGATGTCAAGGGTTAACCGGTAAGCATTGCCCCTTATTGGAATGCTTACTGGGGCAACCGGTTACCAATGGAGGTCCATTACATTTAACCACTTAACTTTTTAACTGGGATTTTACAGCCCTAACATGGCCATTGGGAGTCTTCTGAGCAGTTATGCATCTTAGGGGGAACTTAGGCTCTGAGCTGTGTTCTTTGTATGCTGTGTGCTGGTGCAGCGTTCAGGAGAAATTCCAATGCCCCCAAGCTGATTGACAGAGCGCCCACAGCTAGGATTTATGTTTCGATTGGTGGTGCACATTCACACATCGTTTGGTTTACATAAAAATATATTCTAAACATGGATGGAAAAAGCCATACATGGATGGAAAAGATTAGAGGGAATGTTGGTCCTAGGACCCAGCAAATGTAAGCCAGCTCTGGCAACCCCATTAAAATAGGCTTGCAACCCACAGTTTGAGAACCATTGCTCTAGTGGCTTCAGACACTGAAAAACTAATTCCTACTTTTGCACCCTCATCTTTCAAAGAAAGCTTTTTTTTAAACCATCCATTTTACTCACTATGTTACAACAGATCACACTGTGAAAAATTACACTACATAAATGGTATCATGCTATGACAGAAGTATAACTACATGTATCTAACTCAGGGATGGGAAAAAGGGCCTCCACAGGCCAGATCCAGCCTGTGGAGGCCCTGCCACTCCCCTGTCTCCAGGCCAATTAGGGCCTGCGGGCAGGGGAAGCACGTGAAGTTTCCTCTGCCCTGCCAGGAGCATGCAGCACTTCTAAGCACCTCGTGCTCCTTGTAGGGCAGGGGCAGGGTAGAGGAAACTTCATGTGCAGCCCCACCCACAAACCAATCATGCTCTGTGGGTGGGGAAGCAGGAAAGTATCCGGGCCCCATCCCTTCCAGTGTGGCCCGGGACCACTTCAAAAATTTTTGAAGTAGCCCCTGACAAAAAAATTATTGTCCACCCCAATCTAACAGCACAGCACTAGGAACACAATAGCCACCGGTTTAAAGCTGTTCCCATTAGGAAATCCTGACAGAGTAAAAAATTATAACCAATATTTGATATATTCCATTCTAATGTAAACTAACACCTTTTATTGGATTTTTAATAAGACCTAGATTTTCTTCATATTGTCCAAGTACAACAGCTGTACTGATACTGTATAAGAAAGGCAAAAAGTCCACCGGAAACCAGAACTTCCTTGGTTAGTTTAATAGGTGTAAGCACCCAGGTGATTGAGGGGTGCCTCTTTATTTTATAAAATATTAAACATCAGGAAAAGAAGTGAAATT